GTTCAGCCCTCGTTCCTGTTAGGCAACACGTATTGTCCCTGCGTCCGCACGATTATCTGTTCACTTTGCCCAGCCATCTCCAAACCCAATCTTTTTGCCTATCTAACCCCGATAAGCTCAAAAGCCCGATTCAACCACAGCGCCTGTTGCGGTGGTTGCAATATCTATTTGAGGGCTTTCGCTAACTTACTATCATCTGCTCTCGTGTCCCCTTGCGGTAGTTTTCTCCGATCCCTTCCCTCGTGTCCCCTCCTCAATACCGTCAAGATGGGTATGGCATTTTCGAAACTGTTCGATAGAATATGGGGCAAAAAGGAAATGAGAATTCTCATGGTTGGTCTTGATGCTGCTGGCAAGACCACCATTCTGTACAAGCTGAAACTTGGTGAAATCGTTACAACCATCCCTACCATTGGTAAGTTCCTCGATTCTCGAAACTGATCAACAACCCTCACCCCTTACCACATCCGTGATGGTTCTTTGGGAAAAGAAACCGAAAACCAAAAACAATGCCTAAAATGAAAAAAGGCAACCCACCACTCTTTATTTGTTAGTGCGATTCGTTTATTGATGATATTCGACTCTAACTATATGCAGGCTTCAACGTCGAGACTGTCGAATATAAAAACATTCAATTTACAGTGTGGGACGTCGGTGGACAGGACAAGATTCGACCTCTGTGGAGGCACTACTTCCAAAATACCCAGGGTATCATTTTCGTGGTTGACAGCAACGATCGTGACCGTGTTGTCGAGGCTCGGGAGGAGTTGCAGCGAATGCTCAACGAAGATGAATTGCGCGACGCATTGCTCCTGGTCTTCGCGAATAAGCAGGATCTCCCGGTACGCACCCTATTACGATTTCTTTCTTTCTCTCGTTCTATTATTATTCTTCTCTTGTTATTTTATTTTTTTACTTTTTATTTTCGGATCATATTTGTTCTACTTAGATATGCTAATGAATGATTCCCTTTATAGAACGCTATGAGCCCAGCCGAAATCACCCACAGTTGGGTCCTCCAGAGCTTGACACGACGCGCATGGG